TGCTCATGTCACAGGCGCAAGCTCACTTCCGGTCATATGACAACCTTAAGCCTTCAGGTCCTTTCGTGAGCTTCCAGCTAGTTAGTTCTAGCTTCTCTCAGCTGGTTTGGTTACTCATCGACAGTGACCTACAGTTGCTTGGATCTGAGCATCGAATTTGTCCAAATGCTACACTATATCATTCAGTACTTGCTTAGTCCGTTTCTCGAACCTGAATGCGGAAGGTTCGACGAGAGGATCTTGTTTTAGTTAATCGCTTGGCATGCGCTGAACTTCTGACTTTCTTTTGAAACTGCAAACGCTTTGTACGAAAACCGGATTTACGTGGTATACAAGTTGAAGAAAGCAACTCAGCCTCGAGCTTCTGAGTCGCGGGGAGACAGCCGGGTCTCCTGCTGCCGCTCGTCTAGAGCGTACAATTCTTTTAGAAGGTGAAGACCGTAATCATGGTTCCTGGCCCATGCCCAATTCACTGCACTACCCTAGTTTCACATCGAATCACTGAGTTTTTATTATGGCAGTTGTACGCAATGTTTTTATAGTCATTTAGAGAAGCTGTGTATCTTGAAGGCGGTGTACAGTTCCTCACATCTCGTATATTTTTGGTCGATTTACTTACGGATCGAGTTCCTGTCAAGAACATCGCTGGTATTCTCGTTTATCGAGCTCATCAGTAAGTCGTTGTTGTTTGTTGTTGAAATTTGCTGTTGAAAATTTTTCAAATAATCAATGACATTGTTCCCCATTATAGGATTCTTTCGTCGTTCCAGGAGTCGTTTATCTTACGACTATACCGCGAACGGAAACCTGGCGGGTTTGTTAAGGTGTGGTCATAGTACGTCATTTCTTCTGAGATGTTATATTTATTATGTTTTGTTTACTGGTCGTAATTTGTTTTCGAGAAGTTTTTCGGTTGTTGACGATTTTTCCTTGTTTCTCCTGCTACTCGTGCGCTATAGGAGGATATTTTGAGATTACATCTGCCCAAAACGAGAATATCCCACCAAAAGCGCAGCCATCACCACGTTCAAATGAAGCGCATAGCATGCCTGCCCCCCCCCCCCTCCCCGTCCCGTAGCAGGGCTAGTATAGCTGGTAGGAGGGAGATGGGAGGGGGGGGGGGCTGATGGACGGAGCAAGGCCGCACCCATCCTTGCTCGACTGCATTCTTCGAGACCAAGCGTTGGGAGGAACTATGCGAACGCTGCTTCGATGGGAAGGCGCAGAGGCGCTGTTTGTCGACGGGGGGGGGGCATTTTGTACTACCATTGCTTCCCTAGTTTTTACAAATCTCACTCTGGTAAAACTTGTGAACGCTTGTGAAGCTGGAGCAAGATCGTCTAGCCACCATCCTAAAACGTGTCAACTCGAGAAAGGCTACCTAGA